CCCAGAGGCCAACACGCTGTATTGGTGGGCCTGTGTCTCAAATTCAGGTAGAAGAGAGTGACGAAGTTAGCAACGAGGCCACTCTTCTCATGAGCATCTCTTTGACCACCTATTGTTACAGGTACTGGCTAGATGCTGTGGGTGCCACAAGCTCTCAGGCCAGTTGTGGATACTGACACACACAGTCACAACTCAGGGGGCCAGCTGTGTGACTGTGCTTGGAGAGTCCGTCTGGCCTTGATTGGCCAGATAAAGCCAAGCTCCAGTTGCCTTGATGGCAGCCAGGAAGGGAAAGATTTGGTTAAAGGCTACATAGTCAACTTTCACTAAATTCCTCCAGTCCCCAGAGAAGTGGCACCAGAAGGCCGAGCTCAGTCCCTAGTTATTCACAGCCACACACACCTGTACACATTGTCTCTTGACAAGCTCTCAGGAGCACTCAGAAACTTGGGCAAGTATCCCACCTCCTTGCTCTGCACCTCTCATCTGGAAAATAAGTGGGTTATAGTAGGTAAGTCAGGTGGCTCTCAGCTCTTGGATTCTATCTTAGAACCGTTACATAGAGATGGTATTGAAAATACACTTGGGCAACTGGATTCCATTCTTTTCTTTTCTTTTCTTTTCTTTTCTTTTCTTTTCTTTTCTTTTCTTTTCTTTTTCCACTTTGAGACAGAGTCTCCGGTAGCCCAGGCTGACCTACAACTTACTATTCTCCGCCCTCTACCTACCAAGTACTGGGATTACAAGTGTGGTACTGGGGTTCAAACTCAGGGCTTTGTGTGTTCTCGGCAAGGGCTCTACCATTTGAGCCACACCCTCAGCTCCTGAATTTCACTTTGAATAGTCAGTAGGCTGCTACTTAAAGGAATCTTACTGAAAACATACTGCAAACAAGTGGCCTTGCAGTATTTTGGGTTTTGAGACAGGGTCTCATGTTTCTCAGGCTGACTCGATTTCCTCCAAAGCCACTGACTTCACCTTCTGGTGCACGTGTCAGCCTCCCAAGCGCTTGCATTGGACTTTTATTCTGGCTTTATCCAGTGCTAGAGATCAAACTGAGAGCTTCAAGTATGCCCCATCCCATAATGTATCTTTTGGGTAGGTTTTCTTGAAAGCTTTTTTTGTTTGTTTGTTTCCTAGTTTTTAGAGACAGGGCTTCTCTGTGTAGCCTTGGCTGTCCTGGACTCACTTTGTAGACAAAGCTAGCCTCGAATTCACATAGATCCATCTGTCTATGCCTCCCTGTGTGCTGGGATTAAAGGTGTGCCCACCACCCCTGGCTCGAATTTTTTTTTTTTTTTTTTTTTTTTTTTGAGACATGGTCTCACTAGGTAGTCCTGGCTGGCCTCGGAGATCCCCTCACTTCTGAGTGCTGGGACTTAAAAACATGAACCACCACACCCAGCTTTGAAGGCTTTTCTTGTACTTGTGGTTATGAGCCTAACCTTTAACAGCTGAGCCATCTCTCCAGCCCTTGAAGGCTTTTTAAAGACTATACTTAGGCTTCTGTGGCCAGGGAGCTATCATCCCAGATATGACACTTTCTTGGATCTTTCACAGTCTCACAAGTAGATGAGACACATGACAGAAGACTCGTCTCACAATGTCCCTGGGAACAGGCTGTGACAGAAAACCCTACCAACTGAGCACCTTGCCCTGCCTCAGACCCAAGGCTGAAAGTTCTCCTGGCTCTAGGTCTGTTGGATCTCTAGGCCAGCTCAGGCTGGTAAGCAGAACACTTCATTTTGTCTCCAGCTGTGGAGAGCAGCGTCCAGCCTGCATGGCGAAAGAGCTGGTTCCTAACGCTGAACTGGAAAAGGAGTCCACTGTTTAGATAAGGACCCTTTCAGGTCAACAGCCAGGGGGACCTGCTCAGCAGAAAACACTGGGCTGGCCCAAGAAGTCAAAACAAAATTCAGGTTCTCCAAGGGAGAGGAACAGCAGGCTACAGAGCACAGCAGGGCTCCAAAAGCGCAGGAGAAAACTCATTCAGCAGCCTCCTCTCCCAGGGGATTGTAACCCCATTGCCCCTCCCCCCCAGCTTCCAAAGGTAGTCTCTGTGTAAATGAAGGAGCCCCAAGAGGGGCAGACTTCCAAGCTCTGTCAACCTGGGACTAACACTCCACACACCTAGAGTGGCCTCTCAAGGACTTCAGACTGCCGGTCTCTGTCCCTCCCTGGGAGGCCACACCCTACCTGAAGCCTCTTGGGCCTTCAGTGACTTTTGCTGATTGTTCTCTGCCCTGCCTCAGATAAGTTGCACCTTGTATCCCGCTAACCCTGTTGATGCTACCTCAAGAGTGTGCCAGAAAACCCCTGCCCCCTCCCCATCTCTGGAACCTTTCCCTCAGCCAATGGCTGATTCTCTCCCCTGTAGCATTCCTGTAACAGACCCCCACCTCAAACTCCCTAGAGTGGCTCCCATCCCCCTGCCTGCCTTTTCCCCTACACCTTACAATTCATCCTAGTTTAGTCACCCTAGGAAGAGATCTCCCACCCCATGCAGATCCTCTCTATTTTAAAATCTCCATATGAAAACACTCCAGGAAGCTCTCCCCTACCATGCTGAGCTCTTTAAGACAGCCTCTTTAAGCTGCCTCAAGTAAGCAGCTATAAACGTCGACTGCCATTCACCAACACCAACACATACAGCAGCAGTACCAAGCTGGTGCTGATATTGGTGACTTGGGACAATGCCAAACCTGTTACCCTTTTCATGGCTCCTCTGATGAAAACACCCTACCAAGCAGGTTTGGGATCACTTCGGTAGAAAGCTGAGGCTTGGAAAGTACACTACCTGCCCACAGGCATACGAGTATGGGGCCCAGTCTGAGAGTTTCCATGTTACACTGCTTTCTCCTGCCCAAGATGTGTCCATCCAGTGTCTAATGGACAGCATTAAATCAGGCTCCTTTTCATCAGCCACAGGAATATGGAAGCCCGGAAATCTGACAGCAGTGGAAACGGGTCCCTTCTGCTCTTTATTCCACTTTACAGATAGGAAAGTGGAGTTTAAAGGTCTGACTTGCCCTGTGATAAAGGAAAAACACAGAAAGGATCCCAGGATAAAGGCTGTTTACCTCTGGGGTGGTGTCAAACCACTAGCTTAGGAGATAAAGCTTGAGGAGACCTGTCCAGATTATTCCTTTGTTACAGAGACTTGCACAGTAAGCCCATGGGGTTTGCATCTCATCACGGAATTCTACCAACTGAGATGGGCTGGTGTTACTGGTGATGACAGCAGACCAAGGGAGCTGGCTTAGAGGAGGGTGTAAAACTACCACTACCCAATCCCAGGCATGTGCCTTGGATAGAATTCACCATCATCATCACCACTGTACCCAAACAGTGTCAACGAAGTTCTGTGTATTGCCACATATTAAAAAAATGACACCAATGTCATTTTTGGGATTTGAGTACGTGGGGCTCAGTGATGCTAAGATTTACTACTCGTAACAGACAGGTTTCTGGACACTTTTGTTTGCACATAGCCATCTCTGACTATGAACCATCCCTATGGTAGGGTCTGGAGAGGGCTTCTCAGCAGACATGGTTTCTTGATAGTTTGAGGTGCCAGAGAAGAACTCCAGCCTTGATGTATGATGACTCCAGGGCATCTGCCCTTAGGACAGGACAGCAAGATCTTTCCCACAGCCTGTATCTTCTCCAAGAAAGACCAGCTTGGCTTCTATAAGATCAGGATCATTATGGACTAACTGGCCCATCCAGTTAGTCCATTTGAATGGTGCTAGGAGGTTCCCCTCCAAAAGACTCAATGTGAAGCCCCACCATGAAGTAGCCAACACACTCCACAAACTTGTCATCCCTATGGATATTGTAAACTGCTGGTGCTGTTCTCATCTTCCTCACATTGCACCCCTCCTCCAGAGATGCAGGCCCTTCCCCCAGTGAGAGTGTCCTTCCCTCTTTCATGTCAGGCTGGGGGAGACCCAGGACACCCACCAGCTGCTCGGGACCAGCCTTCCATGGAGGACACTGCACTGCCACCTCATTGTTCCCCTGTAGAATCCGGTTCCCTGACACTAAACCTGCAGGAGCAGGGTCCCTTCCCTGTCTGGGTTGTCGCCCAGGGAAGCCTCTCCTCTCTGCTGTTTCCCTGCAGCCACCTGTTGAAAAGGGAGGCTATGCAGTTTACAACGTGCCTCTCTCCTGGGCTGAGTCTCTCAGCTGTTTGGCTGGGACTTTGGGACACCTGCTCTGGTTATGTTTGCGGACACTGCCTGACCTCTCAAACAGAAAGTAACATTCCACCTTCAGAAAGAAGGGGCGTCTGATGGGAAATGGGTGCCTGAGGTACTACTAAGACGCAACTCAAACCTCCTACGTGAAAGAAGTTCTTGTAGGCACAAAGGGGTGGGAGGGGCCCGTTATCCTGGCTCTGCTCTAAAAAAGAATCCGGTCCTTTGGCAACTTGAAGGCACAGGGTCCCCGCTGAGCCAGATTCTGGGACCTTGGAAGGTGCGCTTACTCCACCGGCCCCAGGAAGCTTGAGAAAAAGCGCTTGGAACCAGAAGCACGCTGCACGCGTGGACACTTAGAGGTCTGCGGTCTGCTTCAGGGGCTCCTTGTGCTCCCAGCCTGTCGCTTTGCTTAGTTTCAACGACCTCACAATACGGTCCTCGGTCGCCCCCAGCACGAATAAGAGCAATCGCATTCTGGTGGTCACGCGGGAAACTGGGACCTCCCAACACCCAAAGTCTCCCTTCTTTTTCCCTTTACAGCCTCCCACGCTCCCGGTCACACTACACGAGTGGAGACTGGCGGTAAATCCTCGAGCTAATTGGAGGACGTCCTCCTGCAGCGTCCTCCAATTTGGAGGGACGTGGATGGTGCCAAGGTCAGGGCTGTACGTGAGGCCACGCGGGAGAAGCGGCAAGCGGCCGGACCACGCGGTGCAGCCAGCTTCCCAGCAGCCCCATGTGGCTTGGGGCCGAGGGGAACGACCCAGGGTTCCAGCAGAGCCGTGGTTGTCCACTCACCAGCATTTTGGGAGAGAGACGGCGGCAGCAGCAGCAGCAGCAGCAGCAGCGCGGAGAACGCCAGAGTGGGGCGCATGGTTGTCCTCGCCCAGGGACTGGGAGCAGGTGGCTGCGGCGCTGGCGCAGGGTCGCGCGTCTGAGCGGCGGGGGCGGCAGGCCTGGCGACAGTCGCGAAGTCCGGAGTCGCGTTCCGGCGGGCCTGCTGCCTACCGCAGAGCTGGGCGAGGGCGCGGAGCCAGCAGCGAGGAGCGAAGGCGGCTGAAGCCCGGGCGGTGTCTGCGCGGCTGCGGCCCGGCGCGCGCTGCTGCGATGACTCCCGCCCCGTCCTGTCCGCGCTGGCCTCCGCCCCCTCCCCCAGGAGCTCGCTCCCAGCGGCTGCGGGGTCGGGCGGGGCGGCGACTGGGCGAACAATAAGCAGAGGAGGAAACTCCGCCCTGCGCGGCGGGCGGGGGAGCAGGGGCTGGCGGTCCCAGCCAGTGCGTGCGTGTGTGAGTGTGTGAGTGTGTGAGTGTGTGTGTGTGTGTGTGTGTGTGTGTGTGTGTGTGTGTGTGTGTGTGTGTGTGTGTGTGTGTGCGCGCGCGCCGTGGATCTGTGCTCGTGCTGTGTATGCGTGCCTGTGCACGCGCCAGAGACCCTGCCAGACAGTCACAGTCAATCCCTGCCGCAGATTTCCTGCGCATAGCTTTTGCAGGGGCTCAGGAATCCTCCATAAGGCTGCGGCCCTTGCACGTAAGCACAGATCCCCAGCCTGGGGGTTCCAGGTTCCCGGACCTCAGCGCCTTCTGCAGCAGAGCCCGGGTAGCAGGTCCTTCCTAGCAGGTGCCCGGATCTCGTGAAATCTCCGAGAAAGTCTGTGCTGCAGGATGAGACTGCTGCATCTGGACCAATTTTTTTTGCCCAACCTTTCCACCGACGTTTCTCCTAGTACAAAATGGGATGTGACTCTTTAAGGCAAAATTTTCGGCGATTAATTCGTGCGGGTCTGTGTTCTAAGTGCTTTGCTCGTATTAATTCGCTTGCTCTTCCCAGCAGTCACATTTTTAAGCCTTGTTTTGCAGACAGGAAAATAGTTTAAAAATGGGTTAAGAAAGTTGTTTAAGATCGCTCAGGTGGTGAATGGCCTCTGAGACTAGTCTGGAAAAATACTTTGCACACTGCCTGTAATGCCATAATTGCTCCATAAGAATCAATCTTGCTGAATAAAAGTAGCAATGGAGATTTAAGGGCTTCAACGTCAAATCCAGCTTGGGCTCAAAACCTAGTTGTGCTAAATTACTCTGTGTGCTTCGATTCTATTCACCCAAAAACAAACAAGCAAACAAACAAACAAACAAAAAAAAAAAAACAGGGTTAATAACACCTCCAACAGCTGCTGAGACGCTTGCGTGGGACAAGCTCTTAGCCTAGGGCCGGAATCTTGGACAGTCTCGATGGAAAAAAGCAGCCTTCGCTGGTGAGAAATGCGTGGACTTGAGGTGGAAGGGGATCGCAATTGCAGAATCACATAAAACTGAGTTTACTCTGTGAAAGGACAAAGCTCGCAGCCTATGCACTCCAGCTTGGGAGCCTCCGCGGGCTGCAGACCCTGGCGTCGCTGCAAAGGTGGCAGGCACCTCAACAGCGCCGGGATACGGAGCTGGAGGGGGAGGGGCGGCTAACACAGAAGGGAAAGGGCGAAAATTTGTCTTTCATGGCTCCTGGCTTGCTAATCCGGAGTCTTTTTGCCAGATGAGCCTAAGTGGAGAGATTGTTCCCGAATCCCAAGGACGGTGAATAGGTGAACCCCTCAAGTGGGCTCCACACAGGCTTAGGAAGCACGGGAGCGAGGCTGGGGTGTCGCTGCAGCTGGCCGCAAGCTTGGGAAGGGCAGACCGGCTATTTTCACTAGGAAGTTTCTGCATGGTCGTTCTGGAACGGTTTTCCACGCCGAGTATGGGAAAGAGGGGGTGTTCCCTGTGAATACACCAGTGTGTGTGTGTGTGTGTGTGTGTATCTTTGATGTGTTTTTTCTTTTCCTTTCCTTTTTCCTTTCCTTTCCTTTTTCCTTTCCTTTCCTTTCCTTTCCTTTCCTTTCCTTTCCTTTTTCCTTTCCTTTCCTTCTTTCCAGCGCTGTTCTCTCGACATCAGTGCCAACCAAGGGATTGCTTCTCAAACCAAGCAAATACTTTTTCCAAAACTGGGGTTGAAATTCTTGTTTTGTATGTGCTCTGAATCAATTTCTATACAAACTCAAAAGCAATCATATTAATTTTGTGGATAGAGTTTGGGCATTTTAAATTCACACAATTTTGGATTGGCCCTACTATCAGATCACACATAGTTAAAAATGACAGCAGGTATCTGGGCTTAGGAAGCCTGGTACTCTTTGTATCTAAAATCTGCAAAGTCAGAACTGTGGTTTCCAGTCCCCAGTATCTTATACAACCCCCAATTTATGTAGCATGGAACTTCCAAAAAAAGGCCAACAGAATGAGCAGACCACAGGGTGGACAGAGCTGTTCTCAGCTGGGCTGAAGCCCTGGGCCATTCTGCATAGTGAGTTTGCTGGCCTAAAACACAAGGTAATAGATGAAATGCAGTGTTCTTTACGGACACCCGTCCCCCATACTTCAGTGCATTTTGGCTGCTACTATCCATGTTCTGTGTGTGTGTGTGCATGCGCATGTGCTGGGCAACAAACCCAAGGCCTTGGGCATGCTAAGCAAGCAGTCAACCATTGAGCTACACTCCAGCCCATTCCCTAGTAAACTTTAAACCTTATCATTGGGTCTTCGATGTCTACTTTTCACTTCCTTAGAGCAGCCAGAACAGCACAGCAGCACAGCAGATGCTATAGATAGATACAGATGCAGATATGAATGCCAGCTTGGACTCATATCACAGGAACCTACGGCATGAGGGTTAGAATCCTGTTCTTGTTGTCCCTGGGCAGTTCTTGTCAGGTGCAATTAGACAATGCAGTTGACCCCATCCCTCAGTGCAGACCTGATAAGTGCTCTTGACCCTCACCCTGAAACACTCTGATCCTTATTTACAATGTCTACTGAGGTAGGGCAGACCCTCTCCCATTATACCCCCTATTAAGATCTAATGTGTTCACTTATTACCTTAAGCCCCCTGTACCTGCATAAAGGATCAGGGATATTCTTACATGGGTTTTCTAACCCTGGGGCCAGAGCAGTGTTCCATTTATCTTGAAATCCAAGATCCAAAAGATAGTGCTTTACCAAAAGAAAATGCACAAAAGTAAGCAGATGAAGAAGTGCTTGGATTTTATCAAAAAAGCTACACTTTATTTTTGACTGCCCAATTTTAGAATTCTATGAATTTCCACTGGAGCTTGAATTAAGCACCTCACTCCAACGTCATGCCTTGTATGCGTTATTATCCAGCCACATCTACTATAATAGGCCGGACATTATGCACTGTGCTGAGAATGCAAACATAGGCGACATAGCCTCCCTTCTCTTCAGGAAGAAGTAATACCTACCTGTACACAAACATGGTTAGCAGGTGTAGGACAAATGCTGTGGGCAGCAGAGAAGGAGGCACACACCTCAGGGAGGTTAGGGAAGGCTCCGGGAGGAGGTATGTAGAAATTCAGGGAAAGAAGAAAGGTGAGACATTTCAGGAGGAAGAGGAGAGAGGTCAAGGTGAGGCTGGGAGCTGAGTTCTGCAGGGATTTTTTATCTCTGAGCAGAGAGCCGTTTTGTAGAGTGTTGGGACCTCAGAATAGAGAGGTGACCGCCATCAACATCTTCAAGACAATGACCTACTTCCCATGTAAAGACAGTCATTCCAGCTTCAGTGGGCAGATGTGACCTCATAGGGGGCCACAGCGCAGCTTGAAGCTAGTGCAATGGTCCAAGAAGGCCTGGAATTCAGACACTGGAAACAGGAATAAAGTAAAGGGGTCATGTACAGGAGGAGACATAAGGATGTGGACATGGTGTGGTGGCCATGGATGTGGAGTGTTGTGGCATAAAGACACCGCTGGGCTTCAGGTATCTTCTGGTCACTAGGTGGACTATCTGAATGCAAAGGTTGAGGGGTGGGGAGAGTGGTAGGATTCCTGAAATAGAGGTGATAAAAAAGAAAAAGAAACAGGTTTAGAAGAAGAAAAGTCTAGTATCAGACTGTGCTGATGCTAAAGACTCACAACACAGTCATGTCTGGAGGTCCCATGTGACACTGGAGCTCAGACAGAGGTCAGGGACATCAAGGCACAGGTGGGGTTGAAGCAGAGCTGATGGGGACATACTAGGAATGGTCTTCTGTGGAGATAGAATAAAGCTGAGGCAGAGCCTGTAAAAGAGCCACTTTCACAGCTGGGCTGAGGAGGGAGAGGGGATGAGCACTGCTGAATGACTCAGCCAAAAGAAATGGAGGGAGGAGGAGGTGGGCATTCAAGTTACCTGCTGTAAGGGTAAGACTCACTGCCATATTTGGCAATGAAAGAGCCAGTGTGAGTCCCATTAAGTAGAATGAATTGGCAGGGAGGGCCTTGTAGTGAGGATTTTGGTTTCTTTAAAAATATAGACCTGCTATCTGAATATATTTTTGTTTTGATCCCAGGTTTTAATTCCAGGGATATGGGGCTGCTTCAGATTGTTCACAGTAACTAACTATGATTTGTCTCATGCTCCGGCAAAGGTGTGACTTTGCCAGCTGCAGATAGTTTACATTTGGAATTCTGGGGACTCTGCAGAGGGTGTATAAACGCCAAGACCCAGGAGAGGTGGCTGCTGCCCCTGCTGCTCCTGCTGCCCCTGCTGTTGCTGCTGTTGCTGCTGCTCCTGCTGTTGCTGCTGTTGCTGCTGCTCCTGCTGTTGCTGCTGCTCCTGCTGTTGCTGCTGCTCCTGCTGCTCCTGCTGCTCCTGCTGCTGCCCCTGCTGCTGCTGCTGCTCCTGCTGTTGCTGCTGTTGCTGCTGCCCCTGCTGCCCCTGCTGCTCCTGCTGCTCCTGCTGTTGCTGCTGTTGCTGCTGCCCCTGCTGCTCC